TTCTTCTTCTTCTTCTTCTTCTTCTTCTTCTTCTTCTTCTTCTTCTTCTTCTTCTTCTTCTTCTTCTTCTTATTATTATTATTATTATTATTATTATTATTATTATTAATTCTAATTCTCCTTCTTCTCCTTCTTTTTCTTTTTCTTTTTCTTCTAATTCTTCTTCTAATTCTTTTTCTTATTATTCTAATTCTAATTCTATTCTCCTTCTCCTCCTCCTTCTTCTCCTCTTCTCTTTCTTCTTTCTTCTTTTAATTCTTTTTCTTATTATTGTTCTAATTCTAATTATTATTCTCCTGCTTCTTCTTCTTCTGCTTCAACTTCTCCTCCTCCTCCTCATCTGCTTCTGCTTCAACTTCTTCTCTCCTCCTCTTCCTCTTCCTCTTCTTTCCCCTCCTCCTCCTCGCTTCAGCTTCTCCTCCTCCTCCTCCTCCTCCACCACCACCACCAGTTATTCTGGGGGATCGATGAGGGGCCAGATCCCCTTTTGAATGACCGCTAATTTCACCTCCTTTGTTGCAGATTCATCCCTATGTAAACGGAGCCCTTTATAGTATCCTGGCTATTCCGTCCATAAGAGACGAAGCTCGAGCAATGGTAAGAGGCCTCTTTTCTTGCAGATGTTTCGTTACCAAACTAGGTGACATCATCAGTGCTAGAAAGGGAGTGGGGTTTATTCTAATTTTATATAGCCCCCCCCTCCCCCCGGCTTGCCTTGTCAGTGTTAGCGGGAGCGGTCTTGGCAGTTCCTTGATTCCACCGTTATAAACTAATCCAGGAGAGAAGCAACCTGGAATCGAGGAGGAACACGTCCGAACAGTGAGGACAATTAACCAGCGGAACTGCTTGCCTCTAGAACAGGGCTGTCAAAGCCAGATGCGTCATGTGCTGGCCACGGCCACACCTGGTTTAGCGAAGCGGGGGGGGGAAAGTCCCGATACATCAGTGACGCTGCCGTGATGATGTGAGTTTTAACAGCCCTGCTGTAGAAGTTGTGGCTGCTTCATCGCTGGAGGATTTTAAGAAGAGACTAGACAGTTACTTGTCTGAAATGAAATAGGGTCTCCTGCTTGGTCAGGGGGCTGGACTAGAAGACCTCCAAGGTCCCTTCCAGCTCTGTTCTGATTCTTACTTGTTTGTCTGAATTGATATTCCATTGATGGGGGTACTGTTTGCTTCTGGATTGTTGGTCTAGTGTTAATCTTGGTGTTAATCTCTGATGATCTGGATGTTGATTCCCGGTAAAGAGGTGTTTCGGTCTTATTATTTCCTTTTTGGATTTTTCAGTGTCTCTTTTCAATGGCGTGTAAACGTCGTTTCTCCCTACATGCCTGTTGATGGCTGATATTTCTGCCTGGCATGCTTCTGCAGGAATTCTCTGGCAGTTTTTTTTTTTTTTGGACTTGGCTTGGTGGTCTAGGAAGGCTCACAGTTTCCCAGTTGAAACTGTGGCTGAATTTGTCCACGTGTTGTGAAATTAAGGAGCTTTCATCTTGTTTCCTGACTGCCAGTTGGTGTTCATGGCTGTGTTGTGCTTGTCTCTAACCCATCTAATCCTACATTGTGCCTCGTACAGTGTTTAGACTCTATAGTCCCTGTTTTCCCGAAAATAAGACCCTATCTTATATTTCTTTTTGCCACCAAAAAAGGCACCGGGTCTTATTTTGGGGGGATGTCATCCACTGACTAACTTCACTTGCATGCATCACCTCCTTTTCGCTGTCCGAGGTCTTTGGGAACTTTTTTTTGCGGACGGCAAGGCTTTCCTGAAGGCCTCTGCAGCTGATAATAGAGCCCTGGATCGATCCAGAGCTTTGTTCTCAGCTCCAGAGGCCTTCAGGAAAGCCTTGCCAGCTGCAGAAGAAATGGGCCACGTGTCGGGGTGTGCGAGGCCTGGCTACACCTGTCTGAAGGTAAATAGTAGGGCAGCTCCACCCTCCATCCCCACCCTAGAGTAATTTTTACCCGTCCACTCTGGAGTGGGTTGGATCTTAATTAGGGCTTATTTTGGAGGTAGGGCTAATATTGGGTGCATGTGTAAAAAAAAAACAAACCCAAGCTAGGACTTACTTTCAGGGTAGGTTGTATTTTTGGGGAAACAGGGTAGTAGATAATTCCTGGGTTTCCATCACCACCACCCCCTTCTGGGTTGCTGGTGTTTTAGATCAGATCAGATAATCCGAGTTGGAAGGGACCTTGTAGGTCATCTAGTCCAACCCCCTGCCCAAGCGGAAGACCCTCCTCCCATTTCTGACAAATGGCAAACGTTAGATTTCTTGCGGCGTTTTGAATCGCGATCGAATTGTAAGTCAAAGCCAAGAGGTGGCGGGTTTCATGTGTTATTTCCGTTGTGTCTCATGACGAATGGGTCAGGCGATAAATTTTCCACCGGGCAATGAAACGCTGCCGGCTATTTAGGAAAGATAAGTTTTTCCGGCCACTCAACGGCGGGACAAAAAAGCCAGAATCTGTTCCGATTTGTACAGAAGCTGATATCTCGTCCCGATGCGTCGTCCAGCTCTCACTTTTCTCAGCCATTATGTGGGATCGTGTTCAGTGTAAAAGCCAGCCTGATGGATGGACGCCGTCCACTTTCGTACAGATATTTATCTGCCCTGGCTTGTTCTCCCTGGCTATCTCTGAAGACCCAGGGTTGTGGGGTTTTTTTTTTGTGTTTTTGTTTTGTTTTGTTACAGGAGGCTCAAACGGCACCTTTTTCCATTGAAAGGGTTGTCGTTTTGTTTAGAACACAAACAGCCTGCAAGAGAAGCCTTTTTTTTTTTTTAAATTTACCATGAATTTGAAGGCAATATTATTTTTAGAGGCTCAGAGGGAAACGTGAAAGCCGGAAGAAAATTCCCAACGGGAGGTTGGTTGGGGTATATTTTTTAGGAGGATGATCACGAAGCCACCCATTCTTTCTCGGTCTTTTTTTAATTCTGGGAATTGCTCTGTGAACTGTTCACTTAGGGATCGAGTGCAACAGCACTTAGGCTTATATTTGAGGGGCTTCCCCAGAGAGGAGGAGGAGACGGGGTCAAGCTACTCTACAAAGCACCTGAAGGCCAGACAAGGAATAATGGATGGAACTGAACAAGGAGAGATTCAACCTGGAAATAAGGAGAAATCGACCCATGGAACAGAAGTGGCCTTCGGAGGTTGTGGGAGCGCCATCACTTGAGACTTTCAAGAAGTGACCGGAGTGTCAGAAATGGTGTACGGTCTCCTGCTTGGGTTGGACTAGATCAGTGGTCGCCAACCGGTGGGTTGGCCCACCGGTGGGCCGTGAGAAAATTTTGGTGGGCCGCAGAGAAATCTCACCCCCAGAGCACCCCTCACAAAGCAATTAACCCTTATGTTTCCGCGCAGCCTGAATTAATTGCTTTGTGGGGGTGCTCCGGGGGTGAGATTTCTCTGCGGCCCACCAAAATTTTCTCACGGACCACCAGTGGGCCGCGGCCCAAGAGTTGGCAACCGCTGGACTAGATGACCTGTAACGTCCTTTCCAACTCTGTTAATCTTTATCTTATAGGTCGCTTCATAGTGCTTTCCAGCTCTCTCTAAGCAGTTTACAGAGTCAGCCTCTTGCCCCCAGCAATCTGGGTCTTCATTTTACCAACCTGGGAGGGACGGAAGGCTGAACCAACCCCGAGCCGCTCAGGATCGAACTGCCGGCTGTGGGTACAGTCATCCTGCAATATTGCATTCTAACCACTGTGCCACCACGGAAGGAAAGGAAGGATGGATGGATGGATGGAAGGAAGGAAGGAAGGAAGGAAGGAAGGAAGGAAGGAAGGAAGGA